AATAATCTTCTCTTGTTTCCTTCCATACACAATTGATACTTGTATAATCTCGTGGTTCGGTTCTTGACTGTGGTTTACTAATTATCATGTCGTCGCTAGTTCTTTGTACACTTTCACTTTAGCTTAAAAGATTTGAGGCTTCTCCTCTGCATAAATAGTCAAATTATCTGTTACAATCTCCCTTTATCAATCAGCCCGCAGAAGAGAAAATCCAGAAACAAGGAACCGACTCCAAGCAAATTCAGAACTTTTAACCTCAGGCTTTCAACGAAAGCCCCTAACTTATATTATTAATGGGATTTGCAGTCAGATTAACATTCCACACTCGTTAAAGATAGCCCCGAGGATCCTTAAAATCGACTGCAGGTCATCTACAGACCGAAACATAAACCAAATGCTACGAGCGTCAAACTTTACTAGAATGAAGAAATTTTGCGAGTTCACGACGACATCACGAAAGCCAACAGTACTAAAAACTCACCTTTAACATACGAACTTCTCTCATGGCAATCTTCTTTATCAGCGGATCGTCTTCCGATTCCACAAACTTCTTGATGGCCACAACTTGCCCAGTGTCTTTATTTCTACATTTGAACACAACACCATACGATCCCTCGCCGATTTTTCCCAATTTTTCGAATTTATCCATTTGCGAAGATGTCAATTTCTACCGGGAGCTAACGATCGCTATCGTTTAGCATCGAGTCACAAATCGCGATAACAAAATCACGCACAGAGAGTTGGCATTTGCCCTGTAATGAAAGTAAAAGCACAAAATGCTTTAACAAACATCGGCAATATCCTTAATGGAGCCGTATCCATCGCGATCGCTGCAAATTGACGGAGAAAATCTCGCGCCGTTTAAATCCTTCGTGAGTAGTAACACGCAAACAAATGAAGAAGCTTTACCTTTTAAGAAAAACTATTCATCAAGCCAATGCTAAAATGCGCCCCTTATCCAGTGTTCTCCATGATCCAAGGACAAAGTGACGGAACCGTAACTAGGACGAAATCACAACACAATATTGCCCGCAGAAAATAAAGCCACTTCCTTAGGTTCTCTTCAACGAACGCTGTGACGCAAGCTTAGGCCCATCAAACTACGGCCCTTATTGGGGAGTCGCCATGACAGCAGGTCAAGTGATCAAAAGTTAAGGGTCCGCAATAAATTAGCACAATTAAAAAGATTTTAAGAATCATGGAACCATTTTTAATGACTATTATTTTTTTATTTGAAGCAAAACACGACCTGAAAATTAAAAAAGGGAGAAACTCGTGCCATTTCTTCTTCTTTCGCTTTTATTATCTTAAAAAAAAAGAATACATTTATTTATATAATATTGGTTTCATCCAAGCAACAACAAAGGAATACTTGATAGCCACAGAATTTCGTTCTTCAATCTGATATTTTGTCAGTATTGTTTTTTACAAGCAATTTTTTTTATAACTCGTAATGTCTTTTCTTTACGTAGTTTAATAATTGCAGCCCTTTTAGGGTAGAAAGGTTACTCTTCTAAAAAAGTATGTTTAAATTCAACTAAATATTCATGAATTTTTTTGTGACGATTTTCCAACAGAAGTTCTATTCATTTGGTAATAGCTGGTATACAGCTGCAATTAATAATTTTCCCGATCATTTCAAACTCACAGTCTATTTCCTTTCTCTTTTGGCCACGCAANTGAAATGGTAAATTGGCCACCGCAACAATTACAAAAGCTAACGTTTCGCGCGTTAACCCCTCGTCGGAGCGAAGGGCTAACTCTCGAAACGTCAGCTTTTGTAATCGTTACGGTGGTCAATTTACCATTTCAACTTTGTTGATATATCCAAATTATATATAAATTTTATATCAATTTTCTTTAAAGTTTCTCGAAGTCGACCATTTTGAACGCCGTTCCAAAGCAATTTTTTTTATTCAACTATTGTACTTACAATATTTTTATCAACATGACAACAGTTTGCTATCGCGAGTGTTGGCTAAATGAACGTACACCGTGATCGATGGGTAGTGACTTTGTCGATTTCTATCATGAAAGTTGTTCCACGATTTACTAATGAAGGGAAATTTACTGACATTGTGGCTTTTATGTCAATGGAGAGAGAGATAACTGACCCTTTCACCCCAAGAAGCTACTCACTTGTAAGGGAAGAGAGGAACGGGTTGCATTTTAATGGCTGTTATGAAAAAGGCAAAGAAATGAAAGTAGCTATAGCTATCCGTAGTAATCATATACCTTGAATCTTAATTCATCTTTATCACGCGAGTTTTGTCATGAATTACGTTTGCGTTATTTTTAACTGAAACACCGTTACTGAGATGGGGTGAGGACATCTGCGACCTCCCCTTTTTTTTCTTTTTTTTTTTTAATTAGTATTAATCTTTTTTATTGATTGATTTATTTTGCACCTTGATTTCTTGGACTGAAAGGAAATATTGTTGAAGAGAACAAAACTCGAACAAAAGTTCGGAAATGGAAAATGAATAATTCTATCACATGTACACGAGAGAAATGATCGCTGCTTTTTACTAGAAAAAAAGGAAAGCTCTTTCGCATACATAAAGTTTATGAACACATAGAAACTGCCAAACAGTGTCGATATTTTTCCCTTTGTCTAACACCTGCTCTTTAGATCTATGGACAACCCGTCGCTTACTAATGAACCACAAGCTGGCTGAGTTCCATTTAGCAAACAGTCGCTTTTATTTCGAGTCGCAGTTTGTTTTAGAAACAAGCCTCCCCGATAGCAATTATACTATTCATGGAAAACACGATCTGGCGTCGATGTTTGCTCCAGCGATTTTGTGGGCGTCAAAACGTAACAGAACCTTACGGCATCGACGTAAAATGGGTTACAGCACAAATATTTTTATTGTACCAGTGGATCGAAACCTACTGTGCGGAATTTGTAAGGAGGTGTTGAAAAATCCACGCACCTTGCATTGTGGACATACGTATTGCGAAGATTGTTTAGATGGCTGGTTTAAATCCGCGAAAGACGTAAAGTTAACTTGCCCTATGTGTCGGCGCTATGTGATTTTGTCTATCACCGCACCTGTTTTAGCTCTCAGAGAATTCATCGAGGGACTTTCGGTGGAGTGCAAAAATGCTGTCAACGGTTGTAAAATGGTGTTAAAACTTAGAGACTTGGAGAAGCATTTGGAGAACTGCGACTTTACTTTGGTGGAGTGTAGTGGCTGTGATGAAATGTTTAGTCAAAATGATTTTCACGTGCATCGCAATAAATGCCCCAAGTTGAATGAGACAATCTGTTTCGATGCCCGCGTGCATGCCGAGATTGCAGCGATTCAAAACGAGCTCTTCAAGACAAAGAAGTCCCTTCGAACTTCCGAAGAAACCGTTCAAAGGCTCGAATCCATTTTGTGCGAATTACGGGCCCAAAGACGAATCCGAGCGGAGTCGACGCGGGCCGAAGATTTCCGAGATTCCAAGTGGGATCCCGATTACTCATACGGGTATTCCCCTCAAAGTATTTCTAATCTTTCAACTTTTATTTCGCGTTTTTTGACAAAAATGCCACCTTACGTCGATCAAGATCGCATTTTTATTTGTCTGAAACGCTGTTTTGATTTTTATCATAATTGCGCAGCGTTCTGGCAAGATGTCCACATGCTTTTGGCAACAGCGTTGGCCAGTGGTTGGATCAGAGATGAACAGTGTAAGAAACTTGATGATTGGTTGACAATTTTGGCCCGTGAACGCTTATTGAAGTGAGTGTCGAATTATCTTAGGAAGAAAAAGCGAACAAGGGAGAGAAAGAAGAAAATAAAAAAGGACAGAAAGCTCTCGATTTGGCCTCAAAATAATAAAAAAGGATATAATTAATCTCGTTCCCACGCGATTACTCTAAACGTATCAAACGAATAAACAAGCCTTAGACGAAACTGAGAAATATCCGAGCGAAAGCAGGAAAAACACGTAAGTGCCTTTGAAACAAGACGGTTGCGATATCCGCCATCCCTAAAGGCATTCCTGGATGGCCAGAATTTGCCTTTTCTACCATATCAACGGCAAGAAATCTTAAAGCATTGGATAAATCTTGATGAGATGGAGCCATTATCGCATTTCAACCTTTGAAGAATCAGTAAAGACGCACAAAAGATGCCCGAAAGTTCCTCTAAAGGTCAAGGTTATTCCGCGATTTAAGCAGAACGACAGAAACGTTTTTTCAACCAATAGTCTGCAGAGAGTGGCCCAGCCCCTTTAACCGTAAGGAAAGCCAAAACAACAGCCCAGAAATAATGAATTTCTACAGATTTGTAGGTTACTTCAATGACAATAGTCATCACAAATAGGATGAAAGCGCCAAGACGTGTTCCTAAGCCAAAAGCAAGCAGAATCGGACATAAAATTTCAAAAAAAGTTGATGTATAGGCCGCAACTTCTGGAGGAACGATTGGAACATCGAACTCAAATTCATAGAGCCACAAATTAGCTTCCCAATCTTTCAACGCTAAAGTACCAGAACGCCAAAATACATTCCCCACTAAAAGTCGCGCCCATAAATCAACAAGCGGGTAGGCAAATCGTTCCAGAATTGAAACGATACCACAATATAGGTGCGCTACTTTATTTTTACACTTTTTTGCCACAGGATGGCCTCCCTAAGTTTTTTGTTGAGAAAAGTCTACCACAAGTTCTTGTAAAAGTAGAAATTGTATTGCTGTGCTTAAATCAAAATCTATTTTAAGCTTCTGAGCACTTTCTAGAGCATTTGATAAAGCTTCCCCTTGATGCAGGATATGCAAGAATGTGTAAAGCCCTTCATCCAACCAATAGATTCTTGTTTTAAGCTTGGGTCTAGCAATTAAAACAAAACCATTTAAAGCTTTGAACTTTGCAAAGTTTACAGTTTTTTTGGAATCAACGGCTGCCCATAGGGGCTCTAAATCCCAGGAAACGGTTTCTAGAAAAAAGGCTTTTGGGAACTGGAAACATAACTCTCCCCACTGATGTGGTGGTATTTGTGAAAGTTTGTTGGGAGAAATTGGTTTTGTATTCTCAACGGATAAAGCCTGTGATGTGCATCAACAGAGGCGTGCAGCCTCACCCATCCAAGGGAATCTTTCGTTTAAAGGATGAGAGGCTAAAAAGGCGTCAAACCCTTCCCCATACTGATAAAGGCAGCCAGAAATCGGTGGACTTTCTTCAATAAAATCTTGGGCTAACTTTTTAAAATCCTTTTCTTTTAAGGCATATGCTATAGGGGCATAAACTTCTGCTAAAGCTTCTCGAAGAGAGCTGTAAATATTGTTATGGTAAACTTGAAGCCGCGCTACAATTTCTTGAGTGCTTTGCCCATGAACCAGGGAAAAAACGCCCTCATTTTTGTACAAAACACTATGGGCAAAAATGTGCTGCAGTTGTCCTAAATATATCTTATCTTCCATAAGATACCTCTTTTTCAAACTTTGAGCTCTCAAGTAAAATGTTTTTTGCTTGATCGACTTCTAAAAGTAAGTCCTTTAAAAAGGGAATATTGCTATATCGTTCAATCAAGGTTGGTACGGGTCCACAATGATTGATGGTAAAAGTGTACAAGTCCCAAACTCTTGAATAATATTAGATCCGTGTGTGTCAATCCTTAAAGCCAAACCTTGTTCTTCATAGAGTTCATGGCCTGCAAGATGAATCTGGGATACCTTATTTGCAGGAATATTTTTTATATATGCATAAGCATCAAAATCATTGTTTTTTGCAGAGACATAAACATTATTCACATCAAGGAGAAGTTGACATCCTGTACGCTGACATATTTCTTTCAAAAAGTCCGTTTCTTGCATATCTGTTTGCTTGAAAGAGAGATATTGAGAAGGATTTTCTACTAAAATAGGCCTTTGTAGAAGAGTTTGAACCTCCTCAACATGTTCACAAACAGTACGGAGTGATTCTTGTGTGTAAGG